ACCCAAACATGTATCTAAACTCATGTAAATCACCCATTATTACGTGGACTGCTTTTCATTCTCCAAAGTATCTAACATGTCTGTGCAATAAGAACAAGAGTGAGGCAGCAGGCTTCCTGGGATAAAAGGAATAGTGCCAAGTGACCACAGCTCAGAATGTGACTGGGAATAGACAGCTACCAAAAGTGTCAGTCACACTCTAGCGTCTCCATGAGACAACAAGTTACTGACTTGCTATAGGAAGATGGGTGTAGAGTGAATGGAAGAATGTAGAGTAGACAGATTTCAGGTAAGCAAATGACATTCATTTCATAATAATTGTTATGGTTTGTGTCTAGTTGTCCCAAAAAAGCCTCATGCAGTCATAGGCCAGACTTCTAGACTTAGTGATGAATTCATGATCCAGGGCTGGGATTATGGGTGTGAGTGCTGCTGGGATTATGGGACATGAGTACTACTCCCACCCTGGGGCGGAGAGCCGGAATGCAACATAAGGGAGACAGACTTGCTCTCTGTAACCATTGCTGCTTCTACTCCTCCCTTTTGCTCTTGCTGTTTTGTTGCCTTCTACTGCTATGAGCTGCTGCTGCTCTCAGCCGTGTGCCACCCTGCCTTGGAGCCAGCAGAGTATGGACTGAAACCTCCACAAACTGTGAGCTAAATAAATCTTTCCTTCCTTAATTTTGGGTGTTGGGTATTTTATCCCAGCAATGAGAGAAAAGTACCTGAGACAATTATCAGAGAGGAAGCAACGAAAACAGGCTAGAAGTATAAATGCTACAAAGTGCAGCTGGATCTCAACCTCTAGCCGTCCGCCCTGGTAAGTATTATGCTGGGTCTCAACTTTATGCACTGTGTCCAGAAGAAAATACAACCTTGTTGTGCTTCCCAGTAGCCACCTCTTTGGATTCATCACTGCTCCTTCTTTTTATTTAAAGCAGTAAGTGCACCTCTGCTTTCCTATCTCGGTAGACCAGGGGATGAGGGACTACAGTGTCCCTAGGGATGAAGTTAATGGCCCTGCAAAGCCGTCTGTTTCTATAGATCACTTCCTACATGTGCTCTTTGTACCACGTCCTTGTCTTGGGTTCTGCTTTCAGTAGTACCTAAACAAGGAAAGAAATAAAGGCAGAAGAAACTGCCAAATCATCCGGAAGCTATGAAAGGCCTCCATGATTCTTAACATACACAGAATCATCACCTGCTGGAAGAAAATACTACCTTCTGCTGATATTCTACCTGCAATCACTCAAGTAAGTATTCTCATAAACAGAATCTGACTTAGAACTCTACTGTCAAGAGAGTCTGGGAAATGTGCTCTCCAGGGTTCTCCTCTAAGATGTAGTATTTTCCTAACACGGAGGGTGATGGTGAGTTAACTATAGACAATCTGCAGATTTTTTGTGAATATGATGCATAGGCTTAATAGTACCAATTTTTCATTCATCCTCTTCCTAGAGCTACTCATTCACAGGCTGCCCCAGGGGACTGTACAGTGCCTTTCACAGTGAGTGGGACATATAGCCCGCTCACCGCTGTGAAACTTGATTCAATGACTACCTAGGGCCCGTGAAACATTAACAGATCTTTTAAACATGCTTATGTGGCTTGCACTGCATGCTTGCATCTCTGTGACCTTCCAAAGTAAGTGCAGGCCCCATGTAGGGACTAACACTGGTAAAGCAGTGGAAACCCAACCCACCACTGGAGCCAAGGCCAAGCAATCCTAGAGCCCATCTGAGCCAGAGGACACCCACAGAACTGCGAGGGAGAACATGAAGGTTTACTATTACAAGCCCACCCGAACTTGAGAGCTGTATAGCAATGGTGAATACAAGGAGAAAAGGTGTAATATCCAAAATACTGCTTGGTACATGTTAACCATATCACATCAAGAATCTTGTTTTGTTTTGTTTTGTTTTGTTTTGTTTTGTTTTTAAAACGAATCTTGTAAACTGTATCACACTATTAAAAGGTAACACATTCCAAGTCTTTGTTTAAAGATAATAGCAAGTATGAAATGCCACTTGGTTCCCAGACTATAAAATAAGTTACATATTTGCATTTTTCTAGATCAGACTAAATCTAGTTTGAGTATTTGGTGGGGTTGACAAGAAATCTAATAGCTGTTGGAAACATGAGACTTAAAGAGAGGAAAGAGCCAGGTTTTTGGACAATTTACAGAAGTCAACACTGATTTCAAAAGAGATTTTATATCTCTGTTAGACACCTAAGTCCTCCAAATATGTGACTAACACATACTCTCTATACTGTTAAAATCAGAGAGAGTAAACGTCACCCATTGTCTTAATTTATATTTATATTCCTAATTACTTAAATTAGAATTAGAATTAAGACGATTTTACAGGGCTATTTGGAAGCAATGGTAGTTTTAAAAAAATGAGATGGTCTATCACCATTTTAATTTAATGTATCCTTAAAAAATGTAATCAGAGTAGTGTAAAAAGACGGAAGAAGATTTGTCTTAAGTGATATACAACAAGTCTGTGCTTATGCAATTAAGTATACATCAGAATAAGTGCATAGAAAACCATTCAAAGAATAGCATCATTCTTTGAAGGGCAATTTGGTAATACTTATCAAGAGCCATAAAGTGTTTATATTCCTGGACCTTGTAAGCTCATTCTTAGGAACAAACTTAGACCAAGAAATTTTTACAGATATATTTATAAAGGTTATACTCATCTCTTGCAGTAAAAACTAAAGATAATCTAAGCATTCTATAACAACACAGATTTGGCAAATTTTGGCATATATTTTTTTAGATTATGTAATTCATTAAAAGATAAACTCAGTAAAACCATAAAAATAAACAAAAAATGAAGCAAGAGAAGTACAATCAAAATAAGTGAAGGTGCAAAAACTTAAGAGCAAAACATGCTTGCATATAATATTGCTATAGATTAGAAACAGAACACAGCTTGGCTAATATTGTACAGCTTCGCATTCATATACTACATGTCTTTTGTAAAAATAAGATCTTCAGACAAAACTATGCAAATTTGTGTTAAAAGAAATGTTGCTTTCTTGAAATAGCGGCAATGGTGGGTGGTTCCCTTTCCAGTTCCTTCCGAGAACGTGAACTGCATTTTGGCCCTCACCCCACAGTTCAGCAAAAGATGCTGGCAAAGGCAGAGAAAGCACTGAGATGAGCAGAAGGACGCTTTGAACTGATGTGTGAGGGGGGACTTACCTAGTCCACCACTAGAGGCCGATCGGTAAAATGTAGAGAAGACAAAACAGAAAGATACAGTAGACACCCCACACCTACAGCAACTCAGACCTTTAAGTCCAAATAACCTAAAACCTAGAAGAAAATGAAATGCTCAATGTCCATTTTAATTGGGCTGATTTAAATTAATGATTTCATAGAGTTGCTATATTTAAGGAAGACCATCAACTCTGCTCTTTCCAAAGGAGCAGTGTAATGGGTAATCTTAATTGTCAGTTGACAGGTGCCTAGGCAGTTAGTAAGGCACACTTCTGATGTACCTGGTTGATTCATGGAAGCCTTGTACACCAGATCTGGTCTCTGGTCCCTTCTGTTGGCTCCTCCCTATTCTTGGCTCACAGCCACCCTGAATAGAGGTTCCTTCCTCTGCCATGCCCTTTGACCACAATGTCTCTGCCTTAAATCTGGTAGACTATAATCTGAAATGAGCCAAAATAAACCTCTAAATTATACATGTCAGATATTTTGTTTCTGGAACAGGCAAGCTGATCAATACAGGCAGGAGTCTGAGATTTTTTTTTTTTAGGGTGAGAGTAACTGACTGATTTTCACCTGCTGGGCATCGCCAGCCTGGACTTATGCATATGCCTATCCTCATCCCTGAGACGATTGTGCTAACAGAGACAGAGGTCTGACCCTTTCTCTGTTATGTCATTGCCTGAATGAGTAGAACCTCCCCAGAATAGAAAGGAACCCACAGAGTCAAAAAAATAACACAGTTAAGAAACATAAACAGCTGGAATCCAGATTCTATCAGAAACAGAAATACGTAAACCAATATTTTTTTTTTCGGTACCAGGGATCAAGCTCAGGACTTTGCACTTGCCAGGCAGGCACTTATGCCACTGAGCTATCTCCCCAGCCCCTGTAAACCGATAATTTTAAGTCAGTTTAATGAACACATTTTGTAAAAGGAAAGAATATATCAATACAATTAAAAATACAGTTAACATGCTGGCCCCGCTCCCAGGGCACACTGAGAAGGCGATTGAGACTGGGCGTTGTGACGTATGCCAATAATCCTGGTGCTTGTGAGGCTGGAAACAGGAGAATCACTACAAGTCCAGTCTATATAGTGAGACCTTGTAGGCCCTGTACTAAATACTTTAAAATAATAATAATAATAATACGTTTAACAGAGCCAAGGATTTTTTAAGATAAAATTATAATACTTAAAATAAAAATCACAAAGATAAGACACATTTTTATATAAGGACACCATTGAGGAAGGAAGAAGGAAAGGCAGAGACTTGAAAATAGAAAAGTCAATAGACAAGAAAATCAGAGACAAAAAAATAGAGTACACATGATAACAATCTCAGAAAAACCAAAAAATAAGAGCAGACCAACTTTTTAAAGAAGTATTGCAGATTTTTTTTTAAATATAACTTTATTTATTTATTTATTTATTTATTTAGTGTGTGTGTGTGTGTGTGGCCAGTTCAGCCCACCAGGGGGTGGGTCTGGCTGGCATGTGGTGCTGGGGATTGAACCCCAGTCGGTCTCTGCTTTTGCTTAGCTTAGCTTGTTCTAAGGAGGTGCTTTAGACCACTGAGCCATCTCACCAGCCCCGTATTGCAGATTTTTTAAAAAATGGCCTAAGACTAAAGGAGAAGAGAAAGGAAGAAAAGCCTATACCACATTACACTAAAGTTTGAAGAAAAAAAATTTTTAAAGATAAAGATTAAAAGAAAATTCTAAAATCTAACAAAAAGAAAAAATAAACACATCAAAGGAAAAGGGATCAAATTATTCAAAAGTCAAACAGACTACAAGACTACATGAGTTGAGATTCTGGTTATTGGAGAACTTAGTATGTAGAAATACCCATCAGTTCTAAGGACTTAACAAATACACCTTTAGGCACATAATGCTTCAGAAATTGCACCATCTATAGTCCCTGAGAGAAAATGGGATGAAATTCTTAAATAAAGGAACACACTCAGGCGAGACGAGCTGCACGTAATCTGTGAAGAAAAGAAATCACATAATTAATTTATTTGATTGCGATCATAGAGGGAGAGAAAAAGAGATAGAAAAAAGGTATCACCAAAGTAAAAAGGAAAATTACTCAATGGCAAGATCTTACTCTTGTCAAGCCAGGCATTCAGAATAACCCATACGTAAAAATGTAGAGACTGCGTGTGTTTTGAAAGACAAATGCTCATAAGGGATATGAGAACATATCAGTCCGCCATACTGAACCATAAACTTTCGTCAGTTCTTGACAAGAAAAGGATGTTCCTCCAGAGCGGAGAGTAACTATTCACAAAGCACTTGATTAGGGTGGGCTGACGTGATCTGCGCATAAAGGCTTCAGCACTGAGGGCAGCAGCACTTTCCTGAACACTTTGGTGTAAGACAGTTCATTGTAGATCAGCACAAAAAGTCCCAGATCAGTATTTTGAGTAAATACCATGGCGATTTAAAGAAGGGTGGGAGGTAAAGTGGGTAAAAAGAAATAGAATTGAGAGGTATAAAACAGAAATAATGAGTTGAGATATTTAAAACTGGCCCAAATATACTAATCGTTAGCATAAGGAAATATGCACTCAACTTTAAAAGTTAAAACTTAGTTTGGATTTTATTTAAAAAATTAAACTGTGTTGTTTATAAAAGATTTAAAACAGGGGCCAGGGAGATAGCTCAGTAGAATAAGTGCCTGCCTGGCAAGTGCAGGGTCCTGAGTTCAATCCCCGGTACCGCAAAATAATAATAATAATAATAATAATAATAATAATAATAATAATAATAAAAGATTTAAAACAGAAGAAAATGTAAGAATCAAAGTACAATAATAGATAATGAAATATTAGGAAAACACAACCAAAAATAGTTGTTGTAGCTATATCACTAATATATGGAGCAAATTTTAAAGTTAAATTTATTATTAGGACAGATAATTAGATTCACTAACTTGTTTATCCAAGAAGATAAAGTTATTTTAAATACACAATTACCTAATAAAACTACCTTAAAGTACATAAAAAGATATAGATATGTAGATATATCAGCCAGAATTTATGACTTATACAGGGACATGATATGTATGAAGACTCTCAGTGATAGGAAATGTGAAAAAGACCTCCCCTAAAGAATATTTTCAGCATGACATTCTTGGTAAAGAAAAAATAAGTAACATTAAAAACCCACAGGAATAGAGATACAAGTATCCATATAAAAAAGAAAGCAGCTTCTACTTCTAAAAAGATGGCGTGAACACTTCCCTATTCCTCTCACTAATTGTAACTAAAACATTAGCTATCATACATAAACATCAAAAGTCTCTGAAAGCTTAAAGGAACAAGCAGCCAGCTGATGTTGAATCCAAGCTAGATTGCCTTTTGCTTTGTTTAGTCTGGGGGAGGGGGTTGGGGGGGGTCGTATGCATGCCACTCAAATCTTCATCAGAAATTAGCCCTTGTGACTTGGGTATTTATTACAGCATAGCTTCAACAAACTTACTAGACTAATACAAATGCCAAAGCAAAAGGGCACACAAAACTGGTAGAGAAAACATGTGTGAAAAGATCCATATGTTGAAAGAAGTTTGCATAAGGGATAGGAGAGCATATTACAACAGTGAAAACTAGGACTGATAATGAATAGCAGAACCTGGGAGAAACTGCCACGAGGGCTGAAGGCCTTAGACTTGGACTGAGAAATGCAATCAGTAACCCATGAATGTGTTGGCACTGGGGTTCAGCAAACCCGATGGTTGAAAAGAAGGTGGCAAGATGCTTCACCCCTCCCCACTGTCTGCCCTGGCTCAGAAACATGAAGGCACTGCCAACCGAAAAATGGAGCAGCAGTTCCTCTCCTCCTACAGAGCTGCTTTCAAAACTGCTATCACCCAGAGCTCTTTCCTCCTTCTCCTCCACTCGTATCTTACCTTCCTAAGATATTTTTTGAGAAAAACAACATATAAGTATATACCTTCCCCAAAATTTTCACTCTTCTTTATTATCCTGCTCTAAATACTATACCTCTCACTTCTGTTCATATGTTATATTTTTATTACACAAATATTTGTCTCAAAGTAGCATAAAATAGTATGAGATGTATTTAAAAATTTACCTACCTATGAGCATATTAGTCAGGGTGCTCCAGAAAAACAGAACCCACTGCGTAGAGAGAAAGAGAAAGGTACAGATGAAGAGATTTATTACAGGAATTGGCTATGCAATCATAGGGCCAAGAGTTGCATTAATGTGACTAACTTTAAAATATGACATCAAATGAAAAGTTATAGGTACTCATACAGCTCGAAAGGTGTTATTTCTGGGTGTAACCATGAGAAAAACATTTAGATCATAAACTTAGTCCCTCTTCAGTGTGGGTGGGGATCATCTTGAGGGCCTGAGTGGAACAAAAAGACAGGAAAAAGATGAATTTACTCTGTCCACTTGAGCTGACCCATCCACCTCCTGCCTTGGAAACAGTAACTCCTGGTGTTTGAGATGTGAGACTCGAGCTGGGTCTTACACCATCAACCCCAGCCCTGATTTCCAGGCCTGCAGTCTCAACTGAGTCATACCAATGACTGCGCTGATTCTCTTGCTTGCGGACGGCCCAGAATGGGACCTCTCAGACTGCATAATTGGGTGCGTTGGTTTCCATAGCAAGTTCTACACTTTAAATATTTATCTGTGTGTGCGCATGTGCATGCGTGTATGGGTCTGATCTTAGGTAATTTGTGATTCTGTCTTCTAATAGCTCAAAGGTGATAACAGTCTTATTACTGGTTTATTTCTGAAACTGTCACTAAATGACCAACTTGCTTTTGGTAAATAGTAGTTAAGAAACTTAAGATTAAACATAATTTCATGTGCATTCAGACAATGAAAAACAAAGGTGGCTTGGCCTTAATTAATCCAATGAAATCTCAGCCAGGAATGGTTGTGCATGCCTATAATCCCAGCACTCCGGAGGCTAAGGCAGGAGGAGGGCTGCAAGTTTGAGGCCACTGTGGCCTACAAAATGAGCTCAAGGCCAGCCTGAACTACCTCATGAGATCCTGTCGCAAAAACATAAAAAAAAAGAAATCCTATTTACTCAGTGGCAAAAGATTGTGCAAGAGAATTTTAAATACAATAAATTCAAATAACATTTAATGTATGCATGACAAATGAAATTTTCTCCTATAATTATATTTTAAAATAAACAATACAAAATACTAAAATTAATGCATACTAGCAAAAGTTTTAGATAATGATTTATGTTATTAAACTAATGACTGAAGTTATCAGAAAAACATTAAGTACTTGAAGTTTTTTGTCAAGTATATAGGATTGCTGCGCTGAGCATGGAATACATGACTTTGTTTTATATAGATTAGCAACCAATGAACATGTCACATTTTTTAAAATGATCAATCGAGTATCTTGCATTAAAGAAAGTTTAATGGAAGAAAGAGACAAGCTACTTATGGTGCTATGGTACTAGACATGGTACTTCAATATTGTACTCTACTGATATCACAGAGTTGGTTTTTTAAATCAGATGTAAAGTAAAACAAATTTCCTCAATTCTCTGCCACTGAAAGAATGTGCATAGTATGTCAGGTCTCTCCAGAAAAAAAAAAAAAAATCAACAAGATGGGTAGATGGAAAGATTTATTTAAAATAATTGGCACACACAATTGTGGAGGCTTCTAAGTCCAAAATCTAGAGGATAGGCCAACAGTCTAGACACTGCTGGAAGAATTAATGTAGTTGTCCAATTCCAAAAGCAATATACTGAGAAAATTTTCTTTGGGGAAGATCTATTTTTTTTTCTTAAGCCTTCAATGATTTGATGAGACCCACTCATGTGGAGAGTAACCTGCTTTTCTCAAACTCCCCTAAAGTAAATGTTAATCTCATCTAAGAAATACCTTCATAGAAAAGTTTAGATATTTGACCAAACATCTGGGTACTGTGATCTTGTCCAATTAATACATAAAATTAGCTATTATTCATAATGGATTTCATAAAATACGGTATATGAAACTATATAATATGGTTTGGGGAGATAGCTCAGCAGGCTAAGTGCTTGTCTGGCAAGCACAAGGACCCAGGTTTGATCCCTGGTACTACATGCTATGCTGGCCCTGAAATCACGCATGCTTGAGCTTGCCTGTAATCCCAGCACTGGAGAGGCTGAAACAGGAGAATCACTACGAGTCCAAGCTGCATAGTAAGACCCTATATCAAATAAATAAACAAAACATTTTTTAAAATCTTCACATTGAACATAGCAAGATTAATTTTGTAGCATATGCAAGAAAAAAAACGTCATCTTAAAAATAAATAGCTTTTTTGGAAAAAGATAACAACATAAAAGTATGAATATAATGTAGTTATTGAAAGAAAAAAGGAAATATAAAAGTGTATGGGCCATATGATCAGAATGTTATAAATTCAAGCCATATTTTCCCATAGGAAAAAATGAAACTAAGCCTTTTAAAAAATGTTCTTTTATTATCTTAAGACAATCACAGAATATTTCAAGAAAAATGAAGTTGAAATTAATA